GGTTTTACCATGTTGCCCAGGCTGGTCTTGAACTCCCGACCTCAGGTGATCCACCCACTTTGGCCTCCCAGAGTGCTGGGATTATAAGTGTGAGCCACCACAACTGGTCAGCAATGTATGTTTTATAGAGACACAGACAAAGATGTGATATTAAACAAATTAATGTGGTTGCCTCATTTATGGGTGGAGAGTCTGGGCTGGTGAATGAAGATTAAAGGAATGAATAAATAAACAAGAGAGGGCCTCTGTGCAGACGGTGATGGCAGCATGCCATCGAGGAGAATGACAAACTCAACTTCTGCACCTGAGGGCCAAACAAAAAGTCTAAACCAAAATCACTCTTGAAAATGATGCAGCGACTTCATATCTGTGTGGGTGGGAGAGAGAAGGGATATGGGGCAGGGATTTGGTTGTAGCTGGAATGTTTTATTCCTTTCAAAAAGATAAGGTAATCTGAAGAAAAACGGCAAAACCTCTCCCCAGATTCAGTATCTGTTGAATCTGGAGAGAGGCAATGAAGGTTTCTGTTAAACCATTTTGCGTACATTTTAAATACAGTCATCCCTGGCTTAGTGATGAGGAATCAGTTCTTAGAGATATGTTGTTAAGCAATTTTGTTATTGTGTGATCATTATCAAGTGTACTTACACCAACTTAGAATGGAATAGACTATATGGTCTAGCCTATTGCTCTAAGGCTACAAACCTGTACTCCATGTTACTGCACTGAATAATGAAGGCAAATGTAACACAATGGCAAGTATTTGCGTATCTAAACAGAGAAAAGGTACAGTAGAAATGCAGTATCATAGTCTTATGAGACTACTATTGTATATGTGATGCTTTGTTGACTGAAACATCATTATGTGGTTCATGATGGTATATCATAATTTAAAAAAATATTTTAAGAGGTTGCCAATCAAGACACTACAAATTAATTTTGTGGCTTTTGTCAGAATTCATTTATTTATTTTATTTTTTGAGATAGGGATCACTCAAGCAATTCTTCCACCTCAGCCTTCCAAGTTGCTGGGACTAGAGGCATGCATGCCACCACACTCAGCTAATTTTTTTTAAAATTATTGAATAGAGCTGGGGTCTTGCTATGTTGCCCAGGCTGTCTTGAACTACTCGCCTCATGCAATCCTTCTGCCTTGGCGTCCCAAAGTAGGTTGGCCTCTGAACAGTTTTACAGAGCTGAATGCTCTAGTCTTCTGTGACACAGTCTTTTTTTTTTCTTTCTTTTTTCTTTTCTTTTGAGATGGAGTCTCACTCTGTCGCCTCCCGGGTTTAAGTAATTCTCCTGTCTCAGTCTCCTGGGTAGCTAAGACTACAGGCATGCATCACCATGCCCAACTAATTTATGTATTTTTAGTAGAGAGGAGGTTTCACCGTGTGGCCAAGCTGGTCTCGAATGCCTGACCTTAAGTGATCCGCCAACCTCAGCCTCCCACAGTTCTGGGATCATAGGCATGAGCCACCACACCCAATGACACAGTTTTTAATAAGGAGAAGAATATGAAGAATTTGACTTTTTATTGATGCTAAAAGTATTATTAAATAAGAGCTTTGGGAAAATGTGGAAAATGGAAAATGTCACAGCCTACTGTTTGTAGGGTGAAATTAAATGGCTGAACAGCTATAGGGACATTTTGTTCTCATTGGTTGGGTCAGATCAACTTCCCAGCACTTTGTGGGAAGATCACAAATCCTAGACAATTGTACAGTACTGCTGTAGGAATTCTTGGAGGGCTGAAAGGCTCACTATTAAGGCCTTTTCTCTGGGCACCAACCTGACAGCCATGGCGAGGGGGCTGAGCGGCTGTCAATGGTACAGACGCTAGATTCTACAACTCCTCCTGGCCCTAGCCATAGCTGATTGGTATGGAGGGCCATAGATGGGCCAATCAGATGATCTCTCTCAAGATTCTGGAATTTTGAACTGGGGCAGAGACTGGGAGCTATGGGAATGTGGTTGCTTTAATGGGAATGTTCTAGTGAGGACATGCATTGACTCCAGATACTTACATCCTTTCCCAAGGCTCAGTTGTTCAACCTTTTCTTGAAATTTAATAAATGTATTATTGTGGTTTGTCAGGGTTAATTTCTATTGCTTGTTCTGTGGAGTAGGCTACTATATTTTTATCTTCTCACCTTCCCCTGGTGCAGCTGTTAATACATATGGTATCTTCATTGAGTTAGAAAAAGATGCCTCCCTCTGGGTGGACAAGCAAGAAAAAGCTGTCCTTTCCTCCAGGCAGACACAGCCCCTCACCGGGTGGAAGGTTTGGCCAGTGGAGTGAGGACTGTGTTTCAGGCCATCCTCGGCTCCCTTCCTTAGCCCAGCCCTTTTGTACATTGCACAGATGACATCCCCATTTATGGTGGTCTTGCCTGTCCACTATGTGCTTTCAGAATGATCTGTCTTCTGCAGCAAGGCATCATTCAGAATATGAAGGGTTATTCCAGACAAGATTCACTGGACATGGTCTATCATGCAAGTCCTATTCAGGACTTTAAGGCTCATGACAAAGATGTTCAAAGTCAAACCTGTTTTAAAGTCAAGACTTAAAGGAAATGTAGGAAAACTCTCTGGCCTGAGAAAGTCCACAGAAGCCTCATCTTCTTCTGATGAATGATCTTCAGGCTTGAAAGGATGCCTTTCTCCAAACAGGCTGGCAGACATTCTTGAATAGCAAAGGATAGGCCAGGCATGGTGGCTCACGCCTGTAATCGTAGCACTTTGGGAGGCCAAGGTGGGTGGATTGCCTGAGCTCAGGAGTTTGAGACCAGCCTGGGCAATATGGTAAAACTCCATCTCTACTAAAATACAAAAAATCAGCTGGGCATGGTGGTGTTCGCCTATAGTCCCAGCTACTCGGGAAGCTGAGGTGGGAGAATCACTTGAGCCCACTATGCAGAGGTTGCAGTGAGCTGAGATTGCACCACTGCACTCCAACCTGACTGACAGAGCGAGACTCCGTCTCAAAAAAAGAAAAAAGAAAGAAATGTCAAAGGCTACTCCTCCTCCCTTGTGTGAAAAAACAAGTGAGAAGGTAAGAGCAAGATCACAGGAGCAGATGACAAGGAGATGTCTGCAGGCCACAATGAGAGTGACTTGGAAACCACCCAAGGCACTGATGTCCATGAGAAGAATATGATCTCAAGGAAGAGAAAATTCCTTGAGAGGAGGCTGCTCCAGCTCTGATTTGTTTATTCATTTTATAGTCACGCAGCCACTCTATCCCTGAAGACGCCCTTGCAGCTAATATGAGTCTTACTACCTTTCTGAAAGAAAGCTGAGTACAGAAAATCAAGACAGTAACTTTCCCAAGTCAGGGAACCCCTATCTCCCCCACTTCCGCATCATGTAGACCATTTGTGTCTAAAACTTACAGGAGGCAGTGTGGACTAGCAGTTAACAATGTGAGTCTAGAATCGGAATGCCTGAGTTCAAACCTTGACTCTCACTTTCCAGCTATTTGGCCTTGGATATATTACTTAAACTCTTGTGTGTTTTCAAACATGTACACAATCCTTTGACTCTCTTCTCAGAGAAGTGGAGCCTGTGTCCCCTCCCTTTGAACCTGGGTGGAAATGTGGGAGTGCCTAGACAAACAGAATGTGGCAAAGTGACATTGTGTAATTTCCAAGGCTAGGTTAAAAGACCCTGCAGCTTCTGATGATTCCTTTCGGGACACTCCAGTAGGGAGGCTTCAGCTGCCATGAAAGCAGCTCAGCTACCCTGAGGCTGCCTTGTAGAGGGACTGCATTTAAAGTGAGAGATTCCTGAGGAGCCCCAGCCATTCAGCCCCAAGCACTGTGAATCTTCTAGTCTAGACCCAGCATTCCAGCTGACCTCAACCCCAGCCACCAGTTGACTGCAGACTCATCAGACACCCTGAGAACTGCCTAGCTTAGTCCCAGTCAACCCTCAAATTCATGAACAAAATAAATGATTGTTATTGTTTTAAGCTAAGACCACTGTTTGAGGACGATTTCTTATCATGCGATAGAGAGCCGATGGAGACTTTTCTATAACCTGGAAGTGGAATGCTGCCTTAACAGACTCTAAGTCATGTGGCTTTAGGACTGGGAGATGGGCAGAGATTCTAAGGGCTTTGAGGGTATTGTTGGTAGAATCCCAGTCATTCTCAAGGAAGTTGCTGGTGAGGGCTTAAAGGAAAGTGAGAAAATGTTATTGGAAGCAGAAGGAAAGGGGACAAACCCTTACGTAGTAGAAGAAAGTTAGCAACATTGTCACTTGAAGTGATATGAGCAATAGAATATGTATGTGCCAAATGAAGGCTGGGCATGGTGGCTCATGCCTGTAATCCCAGCACTTTGGGAGGGCGAGGTGGGCAGATCACATGAGGTCAGGAGTCTGAGACCAGCCTGGCCGACATGGTGAAATCCCATCTCTAATAAAAATATAAAAATTAGCTGGGTTGGTGGCTCATGCCCATAATCCCAGCTTCTTGGCAGGCTGAGGCTGGAGAATCACTTGAGCCCAGGGGGCAGAGGTTGCAGTGAGCCGAGACTGTGCCATTGCCCTCCAGCCTGGGTGACAGAGCCAGACTCTGTCTCAAAAAAAGAAGAAGAAAATATGCCTAATGACCTAATGGTTTGGGCTTAATTTTTAAGCAGACTGTTGAAAATGCTAGTTGGATTATTGAAATGCTGGTTGGACTGTTGAAAATGCTAGCTGTATATCATAAAGATAGAGAAAGATGAGTTTAAAGGAAACTTTAACTTTCAAGCAAAATTTATAAAACATATAAAAGAGCCAGGGCTTGCTGGGTTTGAAAATAAATCTGGTTCTCATTCTCAGCCTCCCAAATGGCAAAAAATTCTCGAAGTATATATGAAAGGGCTTAAGGACAAAGATAAAATCCAGAGTGGGACTATAAGAACCTTTGTTAAAATCTCAGAAATATCTAAGACTTCATAAAATATTTTGAATAGACAAAGGCCCTCTAAGTATTTCAAGAGTGTGCCTCAGTGCTCGCTTCAGCAGCACAGATACTAAAATTGGAACAATACAGAGAAGATTCGCATGGGCCCTGTGCAAGGATGACATGCGAATTCATGAAACATTTTGTATTAATGTAAAATATTAAACATAAAATAAAGAGTGTGCCTCACAGATCCTCTTCATTAAACAACAGGGCTTCTAAGGATCTTAAGTAAATTGTCTTACAACAGCCCCACAAGAAGAAGATAGAGAAAGTTTTCTTGATGAAATGTGTGGTTATAGCTTTTGACTAATAGAGTGAGCCCCAGTAGGATTCATGGGAAACCCACAGAGTTTTTAATAGAATTATTTTTTCAGAAGCACCACCAGCTGGGGCAAAAAGGGTCAGAATAGTATGAAATGAAAAAAGGCTTTTGGACTCCCAAAATTCTGTGGAAAGGAAACAAGCTGAAACTACTTGATTGGAAACACCAGCGGTATTAGTCCATTTTCACACTGCTGATAAAGACATACCTGAGATGGGCAATTTACAGAAGAAAGAGGTTTAATTGGACTTACAGTTCCATGTGACTAGGGAAGCCTCACAATCACTGCAGAAGGCAAGGAGGAGCAAGTTACCCCTTATGTGGATGGTGGCAGGCAAAGAGAGGATGACCTTGTGCAGGGAATCTCCTCTTTTTAAAACCATCAGATCTCATGAATCTTATTCACTATCACAAGAACAGAATAGGAAAGACTTGCCCCCGTGATTCAGTTACCTCCCATCGGGTCCCTCCCACAAGACGTGGGAATTCAAGATGAGATTTGGGTGGGGACACAGCTAAACTGTGTCACCAGCCATTTTTTATAGAGAAGGATGATTCAGAAGGCAGAGCCAAGAATCTAGAGAACGGAGCCAAAAGCCACAAAGAATATTCCCAGGCAGTAGGACTGAGCCCTAATCAAGAATTGGCAATACAATATGAGCCCGAATGGATTTCAGAATTGCTATGGACAAGTGATGGCTGTGTGTCTCCTTTCCCCTCTCTTGAATGAGAGTGTTTATAGGGGCTATGCTATGCCTATCTCATCATTGGATGTTCAGTGTATAAGTAGCAGATAACTTTTTTTTTTTTGACACAGAGTTTCACTCTTGTTGCCCAGGCTGGAGTGCAATGGTGCAATCTTGGCTCACTACAACCTTCGCCTCCTGAGTTCAAGTGATTCTCCTGCTTCAGCCTGCGGAGTAGCTGGGATTACAGGTGCCCACCACCACACCCAGCTAATTTTTGTATTTTTAGTAGACACAGGGTTTCACCATGTTGGTCAGGCTGGTCTTAAACTCCTGACCTCAGATGATCCACCTGCCTTGCCTCCCAAAGTGCTGGGATTATAGGTTTGAGCCACTTCGCCCAGCCCAGTAGCGGATAACTTGTGTCTTTAGTTCACAAATCTTTGGATAAAGAGGAATAGTACTTACAAAACATGCCTGAGGAATTGCACCTGAGGAACTTCCTCCATACCTGGATGGTTTAGATAATGGGATTCTAGACCTCTCTAGCCTAAATCTGATGTCATAATAGATGAGACTTTGGGGGATCTTTGGAAAGGAATGAGTATATTTTGTATTTGAAAGGAATGTAAATAACTTATGTCCAGAGGATAGACTATGGTGGTTTAAAATATGGCTCAGATCGTTGATGCATTTCCTGTCAAGAAATGGAATGATTTCTCCCTCCTGCTGTACCTGGGCTGCCTTTTTAACTTCCTTAACAAGTAGAATGAGGTAGAAATGACACTGCATGGCTTCCAAGTACTGGGTTAGGAAAAGTGACGCAGCTTCTGTCTTGCTCTCTCTCTCTGGAAGTGTGCCTGTGGATCGCTGAGCGGCCATGTAAAAAAGTCTAGCATTTTGGGGCTGTTGTGTTGGAGAGTTCACGTGGAGAGGCCACGTGGATATAGAGACGGCTGAAAGACTCTGGCTTTCACAGCCTCCACTTGTGTGTGTCCTCCCGGTCCAGGTGCCAGACTTGTGAGTGAGGAAGCCTTGAATGTGACCCTATCCTCAGGTCATCTGACTACAACTTCATGAGACCCCAAGCCGGAACTTCCCAGCTGATCCAAAGAGACCATGAATGATAATAAATCATTCTCATTGTTTTAAACCACTAACTTTGGGGGTGGTTTGTTACTCAGCAATAGATAACCTCTTTTCTAAGGGATCTAGAAAAGAGGACCAACAGTAATACCTACTTCCAAGGAGGGAAAATGAGTAAGGAGTAAATGAGTCAGATTTTGCAACGCACTGAGCTCAGGGGCTGGTATGCAGTAAACTCTCAATGAATGTTATTTGCCCTTTACAGAGCTTCCCAGTGGCTGGTATCTTGAACCATAGTGAGTCACACAAAAGTATTGTTTACTTTAAATGCTCTATTTAAGAAGGAACTATGTGCCTGACTGTGAGTGTTTATTGAATAAATGAAAAAAGAAAATAATTTTCTTTTCTGAGGAGTGGTAGCTACTCTCCAAAGATGGCCCTTGATGATAGTCATTCCCTTGTAGAACTCCCTCCCATTCTGAATCTCATCCAGGCTTGTAACTCACCTTAAGCAACAGAATATGGCCAAAGTGATACCATGCCATTGCCAGACCTAAGGTTTAATAAGACTTGGTGGCTTCACATTTTTACTTCTGGGAGCCCTGAGCTATTACATATGAAGTCCGGATACCCTTTTAGAGAAATCCACATGGAGACGAGATGTGGAAAGGCCACATGGAGAAGAAGGGGCCCATAGCGTACAGAAAGAGAGAAGGAATCTCAGCATCGCAGTCCCAGTGAGCCCAGCCCTCCAGGCCCTCTCCAGAGTGCCGGATGTGTGAGGCTAGCATTTTTTTCTTTTTCTTTTTAAATTATTTTTTGAGATGAAGTTTCACTCTTATTGCCCAGGCTGGAGTGCAATGGCGCCATCTTGGCTCACTGCAATCCCTGCCTCCTGGGTTCAAGTGATTCTCCTGCCTCAGCCTTCCGAGGAGCTGGGATTACAGGCATATGCCACCACACCTGGCTAATTTTTTATTTTTAGTAGAGGAAGGGTTTCTCCCTCCGGGCCAAGTTGGTCTTGAACTCCTGACCTCAGGCAATCTGCCCTCCTTGGTCTCCCAAAGTGCTGGGATTACAGGCATGAGCTGCCATGCCCGGCCAGAGGCCACCATCTTGACTCAGCCAGCATAGTCTCACTCCCAGATGACTTCAGTCCCAGCTGTCATCTGGCTGCAGCAGCATAAAAGTCCTTCCGTGAGATCAGTGGAAGAACTGCCCAGTCAACTTATAAAATTGTGAGAGATCATAAATGTTCATTGTCCATTTTAAGCCACTGCATTTTAGAGTGGTTTGATACATACAGGTAGATAACCAAAAAGTAAGTGACTAGGGCAGCACTTGCCATACAGCAGTAATTCGGTAAATATTGGCTGACTAAATGAATGAACCTCTTCATTCTCTTCCTCTCAAACCTTCTCTGCCTGGGTCTGGGCCTCCTGAGAGGCCCTCCTGACCTGCTACTCACCCCGCCTCTTCTGCCTGCCCATGTCCTCCACAGAATAGGGGACTAAAGTAAAAAAGTGCTCCTGTTGGGCTCCCCAGTGCACAAAACCCTGAAACAGGTGTCCCTTGGGAAGAAATTCCAGGCTGTAGATCTATCTCTAGGTATAATGGAGGCAGGTCCCTGTAAGTTTGTTAAGAGAGTCTGTTCTGGCTCTCTCTTGGCTTTGAATTCCAGTCTCTCCATGTCCTGACTGTGTTGTGGCAATGAACTGCTGATTCAACCAACTTCCTTGTCTGTAAAATGGATTCAATGTCAAGGCTTTAGTATAAAAAGTAATGATGACATCCTCGGTATGGCACCTGGAGTGTGGGGCTGTTAGTGTGTCTGCAGTGTGGATGAATCTCAGAGACAGGATGAACTGGGTAAGCTGGTCACGAAAGCGCATACTATTGGTGATTCCATTTCAGCGAGGTTCAAAAACAGGCAAAATGAGTTGATAATGAGAGAAGTTCAAAATCATGTTCATCTCCGAGGGGGATGAATATCCCTGGGAAGGGGATCTAGGTGATCTTCTGGGGTATTGCAATGTTCTATATTTCATCCAGGTGTGTATGTATATGAAAGTTCATTAAGCCTCACCATTAAGACGAGTATGTTTTACTGAGTGTGTTATAGCTCCTCTAAACAAATGAAAAACTGTTGAAAAATGTTCACGTGTCTTCCCTTCATGCAGGAGTGGTCTTTAGGAATTCTCCAACTCTGGGGCCTCTTGCTCCTCGTGGGCTCTCTGTCCTGCCCCCTCACCCCAAGTCTGCCCTAGAGCAGCTTCGGCAATGATATCTTCCTGCTTTGCATGAATTGGATGGCACTGCCCAGCCTGGCCTGGGGCTGAGTTCCAGGGTGGGGATCATGGGGAATGCATTAGCCTGCTCCTGAGAGGGCAGAGTGGCTGGGCTGGGAGGTCCCAGATGCCTTTGGGGGCTGGTGAGTGGGAAGGGGGTCTCACCGCTATACACGGGGGTGTCTGGCTATGTTGGGGGCTGGGGGTGTTTGGATTAAGTGAGTAACAGGGGCACGTCCTTGGCATGATGGGCCTGGTTCCTGGAAGGAAAGCAGGTGGTGCTGAGGGTGTCCAGGCTAGACTGAAATGAAGAGCGTGTCCTGCTCACAACCCTGCTATTTGGGACCTGGAGCCATGACGTTGCTCAGAGTTTCCATTTTCTGTGCTGCAGCTGTTGGTTACGTGTTTCATTCAAAATGCTTTGCAGGAAGTAGCAGGCTTCACATTCCAGGGTTTGTAGTCATTTTTTCTCTCAGAGCTCTGGGGCTGGGATTAGAACATTCTTCAAACCACACTGTCCTCGGCTGGACTCCTAAGAGGAAGTGGGTGGGTCTCTGGGGGAAGAGAATACAGGCCTAAATTCAGGGACGGAATGAAAAAAAGATTGGCCGGGTGCTCACGCCTGTAATCCCAGCACTTTGGGAGACCGAGGAGGGTGGATCACCTGAGGTCAGGAGTTCAAGACCAGATTGGCCAACATGGTGAAACCCCGTCTCTACTAAAAATACAAAAATTAGCCATGTGTGATGGTGGGTGCATGTAATCCTA